AATTAAAATTTTCCCTCTGCCATCTGTACAAACACAAGCGAATTAGTGGTGAAGTGCAGTTTCAGATAGTCAAGCTAAGCATACAAATAAAACAAGATTAGTACATGTTTAAGGATTTATAATCTTTATGTCTTGGAATATTTTCAAGATTACATTTGTAGAATTTTGATAATTTGAAATATTAAGCAGTTTTTAGAAGTAATTTTTTTCAGACTAGATTATAATTTCTTTTCTTCTTTTAAATTTTCAAAAGAATGTACAATAATTTACAAGTATTGCATACAATGAATGTATGACTTTTATGTTTTTTCCTTATTAGAATAATTTTTTGGACCGGGATTTTTTTTTGTAAAGATGACTTTTAAGGTCTAAAGTGATTGTGAAATGAAACAAAAAGGCTTCTGAAATTAGTTATTGCGTAAAATTATTTTAATGTAAGAAAATTGTCAAAGATGATAAAATTTTTAAAATTATTATCTAAAAAACAGTATTTAGATTATTAAACTATAAAAAACCCATTAAACTTTAAATAAATAAGAAAAAAAAATGATTTCACTTTCAGTAGTGACACACGATGTAAACGCCAATGGTCTATTATCCATAAATACAATAATAAAGTACCACCCGTTGATGCTTTGACCTTTTGACTTCACACAATATATGAGAGCAAACAACTACTGTCTTTTACCTATATTTGAACTTGTATCTATACCTATTTTATTTACTAATAATCATTGACCTCACCAAGGTCAAAGCATAACTAACATCTATCACCAATGCATCCGCTTCACTTTCTTTACTGATCGCGACAAGGTCAACTCCAAAGAGATCACTCACATGTTGTATTCTTTTTTGTGTATTTTTTTCTAAAAGTATTAATTATTTAAATATGAGTTTCCTTTTCGTCAGCATAAAGAAAGAAAGAAAAATGGGAAAGAAAGCACGCGAGGCAAACTCGAACAAAGTCAGCTCATTAAAATAAAGTCAGTTCAAACTTCAGAGAATCATTTCAGTCAAGACAGAACTAAATTACGTCCAGAAACTTTTGCTACATTTTACTTGAAGTTCTTTAAATTGCCAAATTTATCTTGGAATGAGAAATGCCAGAACGATTGTTTACGTGGGGTACTGTAATGCAAAAAGCAGCAAGCATTCGCAAATAACATCCACCCTACCAAAACGATTGCATACAAATGTAATCATATAAATTTATGGAAAAATCATTTTATAATTATTATTCATTAAAGTATAATCCTAATTACTTACGAAATTTATCCCGAATGCTGTGTCTGAGTGTCAATCTAAATAAACGCATATTTGTAGAATAGAACTTTAACCTAACGTAAAAAAAGTATTTTTAGTGAAGTGCAATTTACAAAATCTAGACTTTACTTAAAGAAGGTTGAATCTGCAGAATTTCGATTGGTTTTTGACGTTTACGTATGTTTTAAAATGCTGGTATTGAGAGCGAGTATCGATTCCAACATAAAAGGATTTGATTTAAACAGTGGTATAAATTTTGCTCAGTTACTGACATCAGTATTTTTTAATTATATCAAAAACAA